CTTGTGTGCACTGGTACCAAAGGTACCTTTATTTCTTCTTCTATATTCATAGTTGTATTATTTTCATTTTGTATGTTACTAGCTGTAGGAATAAAATTCATATTTTTCTCATTTTCTTGGTTGTTGTTATCATCTTGTTGACCAGAAACACTTCTGGTATTGTATTTATGTTTTTTCTTACCTATATGAGTAAAAAAGATAGAAAATAACTAAGTTTTATATGTAACCACAGTGAAAAATTGTATTTCTCTACTGTGGAAATATTTGGTACAAGTGATTGACAGGAAGAGTTCTTTTTAAAAAATCTGGAATAAATTTATATTCTTTTTTCTTTTATTTTGTTAAGCACTACTTTATTCTTCATAAAATATAATAGTCAGAATTTGTCCTGTTACAATGCTCTTAATTGATATATGCACACACATTCACTAGTTTTGCAATTGAAGAAGGTGAGATTAAAAAGAAAAAAGTTGACTTAATACTGGTCTGCTTTAATTTAAATAAAACTATTCAACTAAAATACATATATATATAAAATAAATTGATAAATATAAATTATCTTAATATTAAAAAAAATTGTAAGGTATAATAATAAATTTATAGTTTCAAGAAAGATTGCATTTATTTCATTTTCATTGTCTTCGCCGATATCGTTGGTTTCATCTATCAATTAATTTAATTGTACTTAATATATCAATTCATTATTGAATCTTATTATCATTCAAGAAATAATTACCATTTATAAATTCCATAATTTCAAAGTTACTAGGAAGTGCCATAAATATCTGTCTTGAATATCAATAAAAAGTATGAGCTTTTGATAAAATTAAATCGTATCTTACAAAATATGTATTGTCAAAATAAAAAGATCCATTTTCATAAGAATTTAAAGATCTACATTCATAAGTCGCTTGAGGATATACTTTGTTTGGAATAAAATCCTTATTTGATGCATAAACTTCTCCAAATTTTTTATTCAATTCATTATTGTCTTTAAATAGTATTCATTAAGTTGTGTTTCTAATTCTTTAGCAGTTGGCCTATTGCAAGGTTCGGAATCCCAACATTTTTCCATTAAATCATTTAGCAATTGGGAAATTTCAAATTTAATTTCCTTACAAATTGAAATAATCAATTACTAGCAGTAGTTTCATTCATCCACTTTTATTATTAGCAAAAAAATTCTTCGAGCTAACAATTCAATTTTTTATTTATTCATTATTCATTATTAATAAAAAAAATAAATAATATCCATAAAATAACTAAAAAAAAAAAAATAATGCGTATCCAAAAATCTCAATCAGAATATGATTTTGTGTCAATAATCAGATCACCAATCATTATAAAAACGAAACTCTTATTTATTATTGACTTAATTTATTATTATTTTTTATTTCAAAAAAAAAAAAAAAAAAAAAAACGATACCATATTTTTTTTCACAATTTTAGTCAACTATTTAACTGACCTGGCTTCGCAGAGGTATTTATTACCATCACCTCTACCTAATTCTCTTCTTCCTCAGATAATAGAAGTATAATTCAGCAAATGATGTTTAGGAAAAAAGGAAATGATTCACGCAAAAAAAAACATCTCTTAAAATCGTATTAGGTTATAAATTTTATTCGTATCACAAAATCAGCTTACCATACAGTTTGTTTGTATACTCAATAAGGAGTTCCATTTGATTTCTGATATTTCTAATTCTGGTTCTTATCATTTATTTAAACTTTATCCAAAAAAAAAAAGCGTTTGGGCAATCCTTTATTTTTATGGAAATTGAGATTATTTTTTTATGCGAACATAGCCTTGGCAGTCTTTCCTTTTTAAGGCCTAGTATTCAGAACAAAATGGAGCCACGGTTATTGAGGTCATTGGGGTCATTGAAAAGTTGACAAACTTTTTCCGCATTGTCTTGCATTTAGAGACTGGCGTAATTATACAAAAAAAGTAAAAAAAGCTGGTAAATGGTATTACTTTTTTTGAATCCAATTTAAAGAATATTTAAATCGTTCAACCAGCAACATTTTAAAGTGTGATACTTAATTTCGGTATTCACATAATTTAAACGATGACCAAACTAATTGGACTAATATTCTTCATAATTTTAATAATAATAAATGTCTCACTTTTCGAAGCTGTCCCATTAAACAACGAAAAAGAACGATCGCCATTATACCGAAAGAAATTTGACGGATTTACACTTCGTTCCGCAATTCCAAGTACTGATAAAACATGGGATAATTGGGCCGGAACTATCCATTTGGCGCCTGAAGCAATTTTCAAGCCAACCACTCTCACGGACCTTCAAGACATCGTGAACCTGGCGAGAACGAATGGGAAAACGATTCGATGTGCCGCTGAGGGGCATACAGAAAGTTCATTGTCAGTGACAAAGAAATATTTGGTAATAGTTAAAAATTTAAAAAATGTTCAAGTTCTGCAAGACAAACATCATGGTTGGGTCGTTACTGCGGAAGCTGGTAGGTTCTTTCTCAATAGGTACTGTAATAACCGTTATGATTGACTAAATCAATTGATGATGAAAAATAAATCAGGTACTCCATTAAACGAAATCGATTATGCCCTACGAAACAACAACCCGCCGTTGACCATTTCATCGGCAACTTCGTCGGACTTCTTTAGAGCCGCAGGAGTTATCGCAGTTGGAGCACATGGCGCAAAAACCACAGTAGGACTCATGTCTGATCAAGTTGTTTCAATGAAGATCGTCGCCGCCGATGGCAAAGTGTATGAATTCAGCGACACAACGAATGCTTTGGAAATGCAGGCCGTTAGAGTTAACTTGGGTAGTTATCAAATTCATAGAATATATAAAATATAATAACTGATCGGTGATTAGGCATTTACTCTTTTTTTTTTTTTTTTTTAGGATTATTTGGTATTATTTATTCTGTGACCTTCCGCACGGAGCCAATGTATAATCTTCGTATGATCAATACTTTACCATTAGTCAAAGATGTTCTTGTTCCATCTGTCATCAAGCAGTTGTTTGAAACTTCGGAAAGTCTTCAACTGTTTTATTTGCCATTCAACTCATATAACCCAAATGCATCGCAACCACTTGACCCGACCAGGGATAAAATGTGGTTAATACAATGGCTAGAAACTGACGAAAAACCAACTTTGTCCCCAGAAGAACTTGCTGCCATACGTGTTCTTCAAAACGAGTTTAGTTGGACCACAAACTATGCATATCAGACCATGCTTAAAAACCCAGAAACTACTCCGGCCATTTGTTCAGCACTCTGGAATGCGGGGCCTTTGTTATCACCGTACAGCGTCGTACTTCAGGCACCAGATGCGATCCACTATTTGTCCTCCTTAACCAATAATTCCAAGTCGAATATTTTGGCGTTTGGATTCAAAGTTGACCCGGATTTTAACAATTTCGTTAAGGAATTTCAGGCTATCATCAATGCGGTTAGCATTCTTTAATTTCAATTATTATAAATGTATTTACTGAAAAAAAAAAAATGAAACTCACCACAAACTCTAATTTGCAGACTTACGCGGAAGCTGCACAAAATTCTTTCCCACTTAACATGGCTGCAGAAGCACGAATCATAAGATCGTCGCATGCTTTACTCGCACCTAACTTCGACCCAGATCCAAATGCTATCTACTGCTTCATTGATATGACCTCTTACGTTTCTACACCTGGTTTCCAAACTTTCGCCTCATCGTTTGGACAGAGATGGATCCAAAATTATGACGCGAAGTATGTATTTTCCTTATTCATTTTTGTTTTTTTGTTGATTTAAATCGTTAGTGGAATTTCGAATTAACCCTGTATCGTGAATTATTTCCTGCCTTTCTTCAATAGACCCCATTGGGCCAAAGAATGGGAATACGTGCCTGATATAAAATCGTATCTTTCCAAAGCTTACAAAAGACAAATAAATACCTTTGAGAAAATACGTGAAAAATATGATCCGAACAAGCTGTTCTTCGATAATGAGTCATTGCAAGAAATTTTCGATGGAGCTCTCCACTATAAATGATTTTTTAATAATTTATAAAAATATATATATATATAATTATCTCCAGACATAATTAAATGGATATGTCCGAACTGAAATACAATTTTTGTCACATTTTCATAACATAAAATTCTTCATTATTATTCAAGTACTTTATTCGTTTCATAAGATATTTCTCATGTAACAGTATTTTTAATCGTATTTATATCTTATTAATTATAAAAATGAAAATATGTTTTAACGTTAATCTTGAGCGTTCAGCTTCGTGCAACCAAATGTTAAAATTAATTATGCTATGTTTCTGTCTGAAATACAGTTGTGAATATACCTGATCTTGAGAAAACAGCAGTTTTTTTTTAGCCTTGATCACTATTAACAAATGTAAGAAAAAGTGTTATATACATAATTCGTTAATATCTAAATGCAGTAACGGCGATACCAAACTCGACGCATGTATGGTAAATCAATGATAATATTAGAGACCCAGTCATTTTAATTCGTGCGAAAGATCGTGATGATTTTTATTGCTTCTTATCCCATTGCATAATAAATTTAATATTATTCATTTACAACTTTATATTTAATTCGTTAATATAAGGAAGGAAAAAAAATGAAAACTTGAAACAATATTAGTAGCAATTCACTTGGATCCAACTTAGAAAGTAACCAAAAATTATTATTTAAACTAGAGATTAGGAATAGGGAACTTCCAGAATTTTATTTAATAAATTGGATATGTTTTACTTTAATAATAACAATGAGTGGTTAGGTTGCTGTTGTATTTTTTAATCAGTATGTTTTACGAATCTTCTAAAAGAAATTTCAGGTATAATCCAGATTTTCGTTAGCAATAAATAGTATGAAATTTGTAAATAGTTATGTAAGTAAGTTGTATTTTTAATAAAATATATTATTCTTACAATAGAAAAGTTCTCTTGTTTAGATCATTGACAAATGTACATAATTTTTTATTTTCATCTTGAAATATAAAGCCTTTCTTAAGCCTTTCTTGATCAAGTTGTCAGAATATATATATAATATATTAAAATTAGATTTGCTCCAAGAACTTTTTGGGATATTTACGATGGACATGATAATATATGCTTCGAAAGAATATGCTATAAATATTTTTTTTTGAAAAAATTGACACTGAAATACTTATATTTTCATATATTAAATATAATATCTATTCATTAGAATTGTGTTTTTTTTATGAAACAATGAATAAAGTACCCTATAGAAACTAATCCTAATTTCCGACAATCGTAAAGAGAATCAAAACATGATTTATTAAAATTTATTAATTTCATATACTGTATCTTATTAATATTAATTAATATTAATTAATTGAATCCTTAATAAGTATCAATAATGATCTAAGAATGATGATTTTTAAAGAGAAAAAAAGAGGATTAATATCCCAAAATTTCTTATGGTTTCGAATTATGAATGATGATGACGACTAAGTGATGCTATAATTATCTCATTGAATTTGAAAATAATTTTTTTAAAAAAATGAAAATAAATATGAAAGAAAGATTATTATCAAAAAAGTATATTGTCTTTTGGTTGGTCTCATAATGATGGTTATGGCTTGTAATAGTTTCTTTTTTCAACTTTTTTAATATATATTTTATATATTTAAAAGAATTGTCTATATACACATAGGCAGTGTTGTCAAGGGACACCTTCGGGACAATGTTGAGACAAAACTTATTTTTTTAAAAATGTAAATTCACAAAATTTTACTTAAAAATCTTTGAAATAGATTTTTATATATATTTATAAAGTTTTAGTATCCATTTATAGGTTGGTTAAGGGTAGGGACAGTGGGACAGGGACAGTTAAAAAAGCTGGGGACGTGAATTTGACAACACTGCACATGGGCAATAATAAATAATTTAAAGCCATTAAAGTTCATCTGCGTCTATGTTAAAAATTTATTTTTTTTATTTTTTATTTTTTATTTATTTATTTTTTTTTTATTCTGGTCAGATGACACAAGTCATCTTTATTACACGCTAAATTAGATAAAAAAAAACCAAAATGGATAAAATTCTTTCTGGTGCATACAATATCAAACCACGAAAATGGCAGATGAGACAGAAACTTTAATTGCCTTACACCATACTCAGGTAAATATAATCTATATAAATAACTGATGTTTATTTTCAATACTAATAATATTAATATTGAATTTATTATGTAATAATGATATAACTAGTAAATGTGGGTAAATATATATGTAGATTTTTTTTTTATATCTAACAGAGTCTTGCTCCAATAAACTTTATTAATAGATTAAGTATAAATTTTAAAGATACAGATAATTTATTTTACATTTATTGAAACTGACTAAAAATAAAATTTTACCATCTGACTCATCGTTGTCTAAGTATAACCTCAGGAACTGATGGCCAAAACCCCATCAGATATAATGATTATATCTATAATTATAATTAATATCATATTTGCATCCTAAGTTTATCCACATTCTAAATTTATGCATTGTACTTTTTTCTATTAGTTCAATTTTATTACATTTTCCCTCAATATATTCTACTAATTCTGAACTACTATCAATGTTCTTATCACTGCATCCTTTCATTCTCCTCCTGCTTTTTAAAAAATTTTCCCCTTTTTTTGTCCTTTTAGTTTGTTTGCAATATTGTTTTCAGTTTTCCGTAATACTACTTTTTCACATCATTCTTTCCAGTGGTCCTTTAAATATTCTTTGAAGCTAATCATTCCTTCGATAATTGATTCTTTAGCTTTTCCTCTTGATTTCAACATTGATGTACTTTATAAACTAATGAATAAGGTATAAATCCCTTAATTAATTCATGCAATTTAATTTGAGGTAAGCTCATTTCATTTGTATCTCCCCACCAATGCCATAGTTCACTGAGAGATCTAAGTTCTCTTTGTATTTTATCTTCATTAATTTCTTCTGTTTGTCTCTTGATTTTTGTAGTCAAGCAATCTGTTAGTTGTTTATAATGTTCTTTCATTAGACGGCATGTATTGTCTTCATTGTTGTCTCTTTTACATTCAAACACATATGTATCAGTTTCCTCATATCTTTCACATAGCATACATTTTGGATTATTATATATGTGAGGTTGGTACTTGAATCTTTGGAGCATTACTGGTAATTCTCCATTGATGAGTTTCATTGCAAAGCTTCTTTTAAGCTAGTCTTCTTAACTTGTATTATGATCTGTTATCTTACTAGGGTACAAAATTTAAATGTGGTTGTTCAATCAATTTTTTGCATTTTTTCATTATCTAGAATTCTTTGAAATCTTTTTTGCAATTTCCATCTTTGCCTATTTCTGATTTGATTTATTTTT